TGCAAACACACCTATTCAATACCCCATTTGTTTGACATTGCAAATACACCTATTCAATACCCCATTTGTTTGACAAAGCAAATGCACCTATTCAACATTCTATTTCTTGAACAGTGCAAACACACTAATTTAACACCCCATTTGTTTTACATTGCAAACACACCTATTCAATACCCCATTTGTTTGACATTGCAAACACACCTATTCAATACCCCATTTGTTTGCCATTGCAAACACACCTATTCACTACCCCATTTGTTTGACAAAGCAAATGCACCTATTCAACATTCTATGTCTTCAACTGTGCAAACACACCAATTCAACACCCCATTTGTTTGACATTGCAAACACATCAATTCAACACCCCATTTGTTTGACATTGCGAACACACCAATTCAATACCCCATTTGTTTGACAAAGCAAATGCACCTATTCAACATTCTATTTCTTCAACTGTGCAAACACACCAATTCAACACCCCATTTGTTTGACAAAGCAAATGCACCTATTCAACATTCTATTTCTTCAACTGTGCAAACACACCAATTCAACACTCCATTTGTTTGACAAAGCAAATGCACCCAATGAAACATTCAATTTCTTGAACTGTGCAAACACACCAATTCAACACCCCATTTGTTTGACAATGTAAATACACCTATTCAAATCCCATTTGTTTGCCAAAGCAAATGCACCCTATTCAACATTCTATTTATTCAACTGTGCAAACACACCAATTCAACACCATTTGTTTGACAAAGCAAATGCACCTATTCAACATTCTATTTCTTCAACTGTGCAAACACACCAATTCAACACCCCATTTGTTTGACAAAGCAAATGCACCTATTCAACATTCTCTTTCTTCAACTGTGCAAACACACCAATTCAACACCCCATTTGTTTGACAAAGCAAATGCACCCAATGAAACATTCTATTTCTTTAACTGTGCAAACACACCAATTCAACACCCCATTTGTTTGACATTGCAAATACACCTATTCAATACCCCATTTGTTTGACAAAGCAAATGCACCTATTCAACATTCTATGTCTTCAACTGTGCAAACACACCAATTCAATACCCAATTTGTTTGACAAAGCAAATGCACCTATTCAAAATTCTATTTCTTTAACTGTGCAAACACACCAATTCAACACCCCATTTGTTTGACATTGCAAACACACCTATTCAATACCCCATTTGTTTGACATTGCAAACACACCTATTCAATACCCCATTTGTTTGACAAAGCAAATGCACCTATTCAACATTCTATGTCTTCAACTGTGCAAACACACCAATTCAACACCCAATTTGTTTGACATTGCAAACACACCAATTCAACACCCCATTTGTTTGACATTGCAAATGCACCTATTCAACATTCTATTTCTTCAACTGTGCAAACACACCAATTCAACACCCCATTTGTTTGACATTGCAAACACACCTATTCAACATTCTATTTCTTCAACTGTGCAAACACACCAATTCAACACCCCATTTGTTTGACATTGCAAATACACCTATTCAATACCCCATTTGTTTGACAAAGCAAATGCACCTATTCAACATTCTATTTCTTCAACTGTGCAAACACACCAATTCAACACCCCATTTGTTTGACATTGCAAACACACCAATTCAACACCCCATTTGTTTGACATTGCAAACACACCTATTCAATACCCCATTTGTTTGACAAAGCAAATGCACCTATTCAACATTCTATTTCTTCAACTATGCAAACACACTAATTCAACACCCCATTTGTTTGACATTGCAAACACACCTATTCAATACCCCATTTGTTTGATATTGCAAACACACCTATTCAATACCCCATTTGTTTGACATTGCAAACACACCTATTCAATACCCCATTTGTTTGACAAAGCAAATGCACCTATTCAACATTCTATTTCTTCAACTGTGCAAACACACCAATTCAACACCCCATTTGTTTGACATTGCAAACACACCAATTCAACACCCCATTTGTTTGACATTGCAAATGCACCTATTCAACATTCTATTTCTTCAACTGTGCAAACACACAAATTCAACACCCCATTTGTTTGACATTGCAAACACACCAATTCAACACCCCATTTGTTTGTCATTGCAAACACAACTATTCAATACCCATTTGTTTGACAAAGCAAATGCACCTATTCAACATTCTATTTCTTCAACTGTGCAAACACACAAATTCAACACCCCATTTGTTTGACAAAGCAAATGCACCTATTCAACATTCTATTTCTTCAACTGTGCAAACACACCAATTCAACACCCCATTTGTTTGACATTGCAAACACACCAATTCAACACCCCATTTGTTTGACATTGCAAATGCACCTATTCAACATTCTTTTCTTCAACTGTGCAAACACACAAATTCAACACCCCATTTGTTTCACATTGCAAACACACCAATTCAACACCCCATTTGTTTGACATTGCAAATGCACCTATTCAACATTCTATTTCTTCAACTGTGCAAACACACAAATTCAACACCCCATTTGTTTGACATTGCAAACACACCAATTCAACACCCCATTTGTTTGACATTGCAAACACACCTATTCAATACCACATTTGTTTGACATTGCAAATGCACCTATTCAACATTCTATTTCTTCAACTGTGCAAACACACCAATTCAACACCCCATTTGTTTGACATTGCAAATACACCTATTCAACACCCCATTTGTTTGACAAAGCAAATGCACCCAATGAAACATTCAATTTCTTGAACAGTGCAAACACACCAATTCAACACCCCATTTGTTTGACATTGCAAATACACCAATTCAATACCCCATTTGTTTTACATTGCAAACACACCAATTCAACACCCATTTGTTTGACATTGCAAATACACCTATTCAATACCCCATTTGTTTGACAAAGCAAATGCACCTATTCAACATTCTATTTCTTCAACTGTGCAAACACACCAATTCAACACCCCATTTGTTTGACATTGCAAATACACCTATTCAACACCCCATTTGTTTGACATTGCAAACACACCAATTCAACACCCATTTGTTTGACATTGCAAATATACCTATTCAATACCCTATTTGTTTGTTTCATTGGGTGAATTTACATTGTCAAACAAATAGGGTGTTGAATTGGTGTGTTTGCACAGTTGAAGAAATAGAATGTTTCATTGGGTGCATTTACATTGTCAAACAAATGGGGTATTTAGGTGTATTTGCAATGTCAAACAACCCTTACAAAAAAATGTTCAATGTTATGCCGCAGCGCTAATGTTCTTTGGCAAGACATTGATCTACATTTGCCACACTACACCCAGGTGAAGTAAATGGGTACCTGGTAGGAATTGATTCCTTGAAATGCTAGAGCGCCGTATGGCAGCCGTGCTAAAGCCAGGGTAATAATCGGGAGCGCCAGGAGGGTCAAATCTGACTGACACGAGCGCTATACAAGAACCCACTATTATACCAATGGTATACCATTCGGAAGTACCACTGAAAATACCATACAGATACCATTCACAAACACCATTTAAATACCATTTGGATACCATTGAGATTACGCTCGCTACGCTTGAATGGGCACCCTTCATCTACCAGTATAATACGATTCAACCTAATAATAAGTTAATATCTTACCAATTGGCTAATTCCTTTGTCAGCCACGTCCCCACCCCCTCCCACCCCAGTAGAAACAAAATAAAAGGGGGGACATGAATAACAGTGTCAAGAACATAAAAAAAAATCAGAAGTAGAATGAAAATAAGAAGAAATAAGGGAGCAAGAAAAAAGGAAGGAATAGCATGAGAGGAAGGAGAGGAGGAGAATGAGGAGAAGGAGGAGAATGAGGATCGAGTTAGAGAGGAAGGGGGAGAAGAGGAGGAGAAGTGGAAAAAAAGAGGAAGGAAATACACCACCCCACTAGAAATGAAATAAAAGTGGGGAAATCAATAAAATAGCTTTGAGAAAATTACTCAAGAACATACAAAAGAATGACAAATATAATGAAAAGAAGAAGAAGAAGAAGTAATAGAGCAAGAAAAAAGTACAGAGTATTATTGAAAAAAACAGGAAGAGAATATGAGGGTCGGGGAAGAAAAGCATTAGTAGAAATAGGAGGAGATGAACGCGGAGCAGTAGGAGAAATAGGAGGAGATGAACGCGGAGCAGTAGGAGAAGGAGAGGAAGGAGGAGAAGGAGGAGGAGAGGAAGAAGGGGAAGGAGAATGAGAAGGGGGAAAGAGGACAAGAGAAGGAGGAGGAGCAAAGAGATATTTGCCTGAAAAATATGTAAGTGAAGATTCTGAGTAAGAAAGGGGACAGGATGTAGGAAAAAAGAATGAGAAAGAGAAGATGAGGAAGAAGAAAAAGTAACAGGAACGGGAGGAGTATGAGGAGAGTAGTTGAAAGGAAGAGAAAGAGCAGATGTGAAAGAAGAGGAAGGAGATATTGAAGGAGTGGGCGGTGGGAGAGGTGGTTTTAAGGAAACTAGAGGTAGTGGTGAATGGAGCTGTGGGTACAGATTAAAAAGAAACCAAAACCCTCAAGTCAACAAGTTTGAAATCAGACAGAATAAAACAAGTCAGCACAAATGTGAATGGAATAAGAAAGTTATGGCTAAATGATTTTTCTATATGACATTTGTGACACGACCGTAGGTATTGACATTAATTTGTTGACAATTCTCAATATGTTTTGTCCACGATTAATTTAAGCACCTGCTACTGTGATTTATATGTTTTCTATCGACTTTGTCTCCGTTCATTTTCCTTTAAATAAAGAACTTCTTACCCATCTTTCTGACTTCCTAATCTGTTATTCTTTTTCTTTGCAAACTCACAATTTAAATAATGGAGTTCTTACTATAGTAATTCTATTTAGTAAATTTCTCCACTTCTTACATATTCTTACGTACTACTACTATGCACTACTATGAAAGCACAATAGATTTCGACTTATCCAGAAGGAATACTGATTGCTTACCATCTCTGTACATGTAGTTTCTTCAGGTGCCTCCTCATCAATGCCTATGCATGGAGATGCCTGTCCCCTTGTTTCTGTAGTATCCATAGGCTGTAATAGAAGAAAGAGGACTATATAATTACCTGAAACAGTTTTGATATTTAATGGATACAACCAGTATAGGAACTCGTGTTTTAAAAATGTACATATTTATCGTTACTCCACAGGTGCTGACATTGTTTGATGTCCTAGGGGGTAGACTGTATAGACTAATCTTCATTTATTCACCACATATACTAGTTAGCCAGTGCAATTAATATAATAGCCATCTACATATGCACATATATATAAAGATGTTATGTTATTTTAACAGATAATTCCTTTATTACATGTATAGTAATTCTATTTAGTAAATTTCTCCACTTCTTACATATTCTTACGTACTACTACTATGCACTACTATGAAAGCACAATACATTTTGACTTATCCAGAAGGAATACTGATTGCTTACCATATCTGTACATGTAGTTTCTTCAGGTGCCTCCTCATCAATGCCTATGCATGGAGATGCCTGTCCCCTTGTTTCTGTAGTATCCATAGGCTGTAATAGAAGAAAGAGGACTATAATTACCTGAAACAGTTTTGATATTTAATGGATACAACCAGTATAGGAACTCGTGTTTTAAAAATGTACATATTTATCGTTACTCCACAGGTGCTGACATTGTTTGATGTCCTAGGGGGTAGACTGTATAGACTAATCTTCATTTATTCACCACATATACTAGTTAGCCAGTGCAATTAATAAAATAGCCATCTACATATGCACATATATATAAAGATGTTATGTTATTTTAACAGATAATTCCTTTATTACATGTATAGTAATTCTATTTAGTAAATTTCTCCACTTCTTACATATTCTTACGTACTACTACTATGCACTACTATGAAAGCACAATACAATATCCAGAAGGAATACTGATTGCTTACCATATCTGTACATGTAGTTTCTTCAGGTGCCTCCTCATCAATGCCTATGCATGGAGATGCCTGTCCCCTTGTTTCTGTAGTATCCATAGGCTGTAATAGAAGAAAGAGGACTATAATTACCTGAAACAGTTTTGATATTTAATGGATACAACCAGTATAGGAACTCGTGTTTTAAAAATGTACATATTTATCGTTACTCCACAGGTGCTGACATTGTTTGATGTTGTTGACAAGTCCTTGAACTTCATACAAGCATAAGCAAATAGTTACAGACTTATTTATGTCGGCATCGTTTGAACTGCTCCGATCTCTGAATAAACTGTGAGTTTTTAACTGTCTTCTGATCAAAATAAGTGACATCCCGTGTCTAGCACCGGACTGCACAATCGCCTGGCCAGCGACGATACCGGGAGAAGTCCTTATCCGCCTCATCGACCTCCACGCCCGGACAGCCCACCCTGCCGTCTCCACCGGGACGGCGGCCTCCATTACTACCAAGGCCGAGAAGGTGAAAAGGCCTACCATCTCTGCTTCGGGAACCAGTGAGGAATGGGCATACTTTCTGCTGCGCTGGTCTGATTACAAGGCTGCCACGCACCTTGCAGGACCAGACGTCATTTACCAGCTGCTTGAATGCTGTGATGACGGCCTCAGGAAAGACCTTTCAAGAACCTTTGGGGCTCTCGCTTCCCAAGACGAGCCCACAGTCCTTTCCCATATAAAGACACTAGCCGTTCGCCGGGAAAACATCATGGTCTTCCGGGTTCAATTACAGTAGATGCGGCAGGACAGAAATGACCCTGTACGGGCATTTGCTGCCCGCCTCCATGGCCAAGCAAGCATCTGCAGCTACCAGGTCACTTGTACCTGCCATAATGATGTGGACTATAGTGCTGCCATGGTGCGAGATTCCCTAATCAGGGGGTTATTAGATGAAGACATACGATTGAACAAATTGGGCGAGACCAAACAAGACAAGACTTAGAGATTGCGTATGTCGAGGCCAAAGAAGAAACGCCGGATACTAAACGATATTACCTTTAGAAGGAGGAGAAAATCATGAATTATCAACTCCATCATCACAGAGACGAAATGGTTCAAGAAGAAATGCATGGGGGAAACCTATCCTAGGCAGATTTGATAACCAAAGCGCTTCAAAGTGCACCCGATCAACGCTTGACCCTTTCCCAAATTTACGACTGGATGGTGAAAAATGTCCCATTTTTCAAGGATTAAGGAGACAGCAATAGTTCTTTGACAAGACTCGCCCAACCTGCCTGGCGACTGATTGGAGTAAGGAAGGGATTGGCTTCTGGCTATTTCAGAAACACTGTTCCTGCACATCGATCAAGCCATTCTGTTGCAAACCTGGCTGGAAGATCACCCTTGTTGGAAGCCGTTTCACATCCGGTGCCAAATCTTGATATGCGCCGATCGAGGGCGAGGCCCTGGCTGTTATCGATGCCTTGGACAAGGCCCGCCACTTTCATTGGATGATCTGACCTCATCGTGGCGGTAGACCACAAACCCCTCCTCAAGACCCTTGGTGACCGCTCCCTGAACGACATCCCGAACACTCGCCTTCGCAACCTCAAAGAGAAGTCGCTTCGGTACCGCTTCCGGATATTTCACATTCCAGGCGTCCGCCATGCTGCTGCCGATGCCATCTCCATTCATCCTGTTGGTGAGACTCAACAGCTTCCTCTCCTTGATGATGTCGCGAACATTTGGGACCCCGTCGACCCCCTTCCATATCCATCCTTGCATCATTGATTCCTTGTTGCTGTCCGCACCCCTCCTGACGACCTTCCGCAGGTGTGCGCAGCAGATGCCTCACCATTATTAGCAATCTTCATATACAATGTCACCACTCTTACATTTCAAAACCATGCATACATAAACACACAAACATTTATAAAGTCTCTATGCATTAGAATGTCATCACTTTAACAGTTTAAAAGTATATATACCGACACACACACCATTACTTGCAATCTTCTTGTACAATGTCACCACTCTTACATTTTAAAACCATGCATACATGAACACACAAACATAAAGTTTTTATGTATTACAATGTCCCCAATTTAACAGTTTAAAAGTGTATTTACACAACCATGAATACGTAAACACACAAACATTTATAAAGTCTCTATGTATTAGAGTGTCACCACTTTAACAGTTTAAAAGCATATAAACACACACAGTCACCATTATTAGCAATCTTCATATACTGTACAATGTCACCACTCTTACATTTCAAAACCATGCTATAAACACACATACATTTATTACGTTTATATGTATTAAAATGTTAAAAGATATTAAAACAGTTTAAAAGTATATTCATGTACACACACATGCCAATAATTATTTAGATTTATTTGCCACCACTTACCTTTTTCCAATGCATTTCATCTGTTGTCAACCCATAGTCATATAGAACTTCTGTTCCAATTGTTAAAGATCTGTTTAGAATAAAATAGATTGTATGAACAGTGATACAAATTTACCCTGATAAATACTTAGATGTTGATTCTACCTATTTGAGTGGATACAACCTCAACGCATGCTACATCCTGCAGACGCTATTCATTCCTTTTCAATTTGTTTCTGCTAAATCTATAATTCAAACAGATCCTGACCCGTCTGCTCTCAAAATTTACCAAAGAAGAAGACAGCACATCGTCATTATTTAACAGTTAACAAGCATCTTACTGTTGTATATGAAAGATACATATTTGATGCACTTTAGTTACATAAACATCATTTCCATTCAAATTCACAGTAGAAAGAAAATGATGTGAAATATTATTAAAGGGTTAACTGGGGTCATTTTTAAATGGCCGTGCATTTTGAACTTGCCCCATTTGTGTTTGTGTTACGCCACCAAATCTAAGAATTGGCCACCTGTCAGGATTGAAGTGGTCATAACTCATATGTATTGATTTTTAGAAGTATTCTTTATACAGGATAGCCCCATCAGTATTTGAATACTGTTCTACTTGGGGGCCCTGTAAAACATAAACAACATACATTTCATACATAGAGGTTACACATATGAAATTGCCCAGAACACAAAATATTAACTCTATCCCTACAAAAGTATACATTATCTGAAAGAAAACTTCCTGAGGATTTCAAAAATGGCTGACAAAATGAGGAAGGGTGAGATGGTAAAATCTTATGAGTGAAAATAATTATTTGACTTTTGAGGACATTATTTGACTTTTGAGTACCTTAAAATATTTTATTTTGAACACCTATATCTTTCCTCCCTTGGCTATGATCCTTAGTTTCTCACCGTGTTTGAATTCCTCATGGAATTTCCTTTCAGAAGATATATGATTATCATAATTTGTTCATTTAATAACAAAAGTCCAACATGGTGTAAAACTAAGGTTGCACAAAAATATACTATCATTTTTATATTGCAGTGAACTAGTATGAATGTATGAATTTACGATGGAATAAAACAAGAGTTTATATGAAGCATTAAAAAAACGAGGTAGGGTGAGGTGGTATCATCTGAAAGATAAGACCCAAATCAAGTTTACAGTCCATATTGTTACGATGTATTGCTCTCATACAGTTTGTGTATGTTGACGTTGGTTAAAAATAGGTTTTGTGACCTAATTTTAAAGAATTATCATTAGTTTAACATGTACATGTACAAACTTTGGTTAAATATAGGTTTTGACTTAATTTTAAAGAATCATCATTAGTTTAACATACTGTACAGACTTTGATTATTATAGCTTATTATAGATTATTTAGTTGTAAGACAAGAATATCAAATGTCCAGCCCCTTGTATATACCTACATTATTCATGTTTAACACACCATATACTTAATGTGTACTGCTCACCCCCCCCCCCCCCACCAACATTTTGTATTCTATCAAGTGCAGTGTCGCGTTTTCATGGGATAATGAGCTCATATTTACAGGCATGATTTAAAATGAGGTAGGGTGAGATGGTAAAATCTTATGAGTGAAAATATGTGAATTTTGAGGACCTCTAAATACTTTATTTTGAACATCTATATCTCTCTCCCCTCCCCCCCCCCCCCCCTTTGCTCGGACCCTTAGTTTCTCACCATATTTGAATTCCTGATGAAATCTCCTTTTAGAAATAATCATAATTATACCCCTCCGTCTAGCGGAGATAGAATGGAATATGTAAAATTGTAATAAAACTTTCTTTTTTGTTGGCAAGTTCAAAACGCATTGGCAAATCCTGATTAGCCAGTGCTACAGTGTATACATAGCCTCTTGTCTTTTCCGTCTGCGTATTCATTTTGTATCGTAATAATGTGCAATAACAATTTTAAATATTTTTTTTAATCTGAACATATGAATAAACAACACAATATATTCTTCTTTAATTGTAATGTTTCGCCTTAGTCTTATCACCGTATTCTTTAACAGCCCACATCAACATGAAATAATATGAATTAAAGTCACTCACCTGGTGCTAAATAGGCAGAGAAGGGGACTACTATCCACAGTAATAACCTTCATTGTACTATTCCTCTCACAGGGATCTCCATGGTTCACCAGTCGCCCCAGTTGTGGCCCACTGGTAGGCTCTTCAGTTGCGTCAATACTAAATTATCAATATAAGTCAAAATGAACGTACATGTACATACGAGGCCTTGTTAGAATTTGTTTCACTGGATCTAAATTTTAAAAGATTTATCATGTTAAAATTATTAATTTACCATTTTCTTTAAAGGGAAAGTATTCCCATAGAACTAAAGAGTAGCCTAATAGGAATCAGTGCACAAGAGTTAGTTTTGATAAATAGACCCTCTGCCTTTTGACACAATGATACAAAATATATATTTCAGTAAATTAGCCTATAATGAGTTTTACATCAGAAAACATGAATGATTGGAAAAGAAATAGTACTAGCTACATGTATGTTGTTTGGTAACAAATCTATTGTTAGCATGTTTTAAAGAATGCCGAATAAATTTGCAATCATTTAAGCGGGTATTAATTATAAGACTACGAGATCAGAATGTTGTATCCTGGGAGCACTTACGGGAACAATATTGGGAGTTCAGAACTGAGATGCAGCTATTTATGGGTAGTGGGAATACTGTGGCTTTAAGAACATTCATTAAAGTTACATTCTGGTGACAAGGGAGGGGTAAATGTCATTTAGTATGACTCACAAAAAGAGCTACAGTAGAATCATTTACAGTGACTCAATCTACCAAACAAAAACAAAAATTAGATCGGCCTGTGAATCAATGAAATCATTCAATCAATGTAGCAATTTGTATAGCGTCTTTTCCATGGATACCAAGTGCTTTGAGATGTCATCCCTGATTCGCCTATGAAACCTAACAATTTTGATTAAATTATCATAGATTTCCTTAAATTGTACAAACTTGACCTTGCACAGGCACCCAAGTAGATTGGTGAACTAGTATTGAAGAGGTCTGTAATACGTTTATACAGAAGATTTACCAAAGAAAATTTATTTGATCCAATTAAAATTAAAGGAACATGATTTAGAAATTGTGTGTACAAATTAAAAGCACATTTACAGGTAGCATGCTCTACCAAACAAATATAATTTAAGATAGTCAAGTAATAAAAAAAAAAAAATTTGATTACTATTAAGTTATGTTCTTTTTTTAAATCCACTAAACAATGATCGACTAACAAAATAATGATAGCCTACAGAAGCTTCAAATATAGTTTTTTATGTTTTATTAAGAAGTAAGGCAAAGCTGCCAGGGAGATAAATACCAGATTACTGAAAATCTATGTTCAAAATGATATTTTTTTCTTCTGAGAAGTGATTGAACACTATCTGTATGTACGTACCAAAATGCTTTTCCATGCCATTTGAAAAAAAATCTGAATACACTGTCCTCACACTCCTCTCTTTGCCTTCCGACATCTCCTGTAAGAAGTTTTCCAGCATATTGAGCCAAAAATTGTCCGTGTTGGATGTCCTCCACGGCAATTACTCCACGCCCTAGAATTTAAAGTTTTATAGTATCCAGATTACAATACGTATGCATTTTGAATCAAATTAAAAGTATGAAATATCATTGCCTCTCCACCCCCCCCCCCTCCCCCATCTCAACAGAACATTTCAAAAGAGATTAGCCCAACTTTAAACAATTTATATTTTAATGGCAAAAAATTCATACATACCGCTATCACCACAATTGCGTACTAACCCCGCCTGTTTGTAGGGCCAGATAGTCCCGTACTAATTGCTGAGTTAGCCCACTTTGTATTTGTGCAGTGCACTAATATGCAGGTATCTGAACTATGTTTTTAAATGTTTACCTTTCTTAGTGTTAATGAACTGTTCCTTAATCCAAGGTGGATCACATCTCTTGTCGATAAATTCCTTGACATAATAGTCCACACGCCTCCTCTTTGCTCTCGGCATATCTCTGTCAAGGTCATCAGCCTAGCCTAGATCTAGGTAAACATGAATAACGAAAAAAAATCTTAAATTAATGTTTAACTCTTAACTACGCTGTCGTCAATTGGCACCACATAATACACATAAATCCATAGAGCTGCAATTTCTTTGGCACGTTAAGAGTTTAAAAAACACCCATTTATGCCCCCCCCCCCCTCCTTAAAATTCCAGCTTTGGTAACGATCACAAAATGAGTTCGAACAGAATCCAGCAATAAATGACCACCTAAGTGTGTGTAGACTCTAACACAATAACAGTTAGATCTAGATCTAGACCTCTAGATCTATGTATTATAAATATAAATTATGTGCCAAACGATTCTAGTAGAAAACGAGTAATTGCTCAGTAATTAGCAAAATAAGCGCGACATTCTCCCGGTTGACGGGTCTTTTTCCAAGCAATAATAATACACGTTCCCCCGTAGATCTATGCTTATCCGTGTTAGCGATCTTCAGCGTAGCCGTAGATCTAGATCTAGATCTACTCGGTTTTCAGCCTAGATTTCAATATTTCACGTTTGGTTTACGTAAACTAGTCTATGTCAGGACTTAGACCTAATACTAGGTCTATTACTAACTGTTAGATCTAGATCTAACGAGTAACGTTAGGATGATGGTAACAATTAACCTTCATTTTAAATAAAGACTTTCTACATCTATCAAAATTATTGATTACTGGCTATACTGCGGCTTCTAGTTCTAACTTTAGTGTTAACCTCACAAGTCAATCGAGGGTGACCTTTTATAACCTGGAAAAGAGCTGTTAATTCAGAGGGGAAAAGTTAACCCGCTTCATCACAAGCAGCAACATTTGCGTGCTCATCAGCAGGCGGCCGACGACAGTGCAGCCCTGTGAAAACACGCCAGGAAATCCGTCGTCTGCCTCTGGCTCTGCAGTCTAACTTTGTTAGTCCCAACAGATATAGCACATCCAAGTCAGTTATGGCCTGTAACTTAGATGTTAGGCCTAGCCTACAGTAGACCTAGTAGTAGGCCCCTAGACCTTCTAGACTAATTGTTTGTTGCTGTTTTTAATAAAATAATGTGGTTAAATTGGCTATCGTGACAAGTCATTATTGCTGCATTACGTAGACTTTGATAATTACATTAAAAACAAATAAAAGACTCATCTTTCAAGTTCTATCAATTGTTCTGAGGTAGATCTAACTGTTAGAGTCTAGTATCTATTTAATTAACTGGAAACGCTAATCGAATCGCCTGCCTATTTAGGTCTTAGCCTAGGCCTACCCCAAAGCCAAACAGCTGCCTGGATCTGAACTTCGAATCTAAAGAAGATCTTAACCAATTATTTACGTTGGTAGACGTACAGTAGCTAAAGAAAGTTAGACATAACTGTTACTGTCTAATATCCTGCCAATACTATATAAAAAGGTTTCAACAAACTTACTTTCTATGTCTATGACTCCAGCTCCCGCTCTGGCTCCATGTTGACAGCATGTACCGTACATACATGTGGTATATGTGCGCACGAAATTTGCCGCGCGCGCACTGCATGCACCATGCATATGCATAGAGTTACTACGTATCGTAACGTCTTTTTTAGTAACCACATATAAAATGTATAATGCGCGTGCCCTATATAGCTATTGTACGTTGGACATAAATGACTGCTTGAAAACAGGACACTAGATGGCGCTCTGCAGAGTGTGTGTTTGCATTTTATGAAATTAAAACACACCAACTGAAAACACACACTAATTGTGAGACCATGAATATTCATAAACACTATGACGTCAGAAGGTGGAAACGAGTATTATAAAGGGAAAAAATTGTGGGACCGACATTTGGTCCCACAATTAAAAAAAGGTCCATCAACTGTTGGTGTGTTTTCAGTCATATGTCCAACAAATAGTGCGGAGACACGTACACACACACACACACACACACACACACACACACACACCGAGGTCAGAAGGACCGTATGCGTGTTCCTCAAAGCTCCAGTAATGGGGTGTTTTTTTTCGCGCGACAAAGTCCGGCCCGCCATTGACTTGCACACTGGAGATAAGGGGGTGCTTTATACGCGTCCCCAAGAAGACAAATTCCTTTGTAGGGCCATGCATTATGATTCAAGGTATGCCCACATAGAGGATTGGTTTATGTTGGGGGTCGGGGCAAAATGCAGTGAATTATTGATAATTTATTGCATTTTCTTTTTTTCCCCTTTTTTTTTGTATTTGTGGGGGCGGCGACGTACCCCAGCCCCCGCTGCGTACAGTCATGATTCAGTGGCTAAGCAATGGCCTTGTAATAAAAACCGTGTCGATCAGCCATATTAGTGCCCTTTTATGAGGCATTAATCCTCATTACTGTTAGTTATCATATTGCTCCGATTCTCTCATTTTCGTTCGCTGGATCACTGCAGCACAAACAGCTCGTTCGACGTCACTCCCAAACTAGCCAATCAGCTGTCAATGACGTCATATTGAATGCGGCAGCAAATATATTTTGTGAAATTATCGAGAAATGGACTATTTCTAATTGCAAACTAGTTTTATTTTTGGATGAAAACGCAGCCATTGTTATCTTGACATTCTTTGATGTCATCAGAAAAGGGTAAGTTACGTCTCAGATGATTCAAGAGGTCTATTTTGTAAATAAATTTTCAATTTCTTAAAATTTTCCACTGTGTTGCAGAGTACCGGGTGTATGCCATTGGGTGTAATGTGTTCGCGCGCAATGGCGCGAATTATACATTCTTCTTCTTCTTCGCTATAAGTACAGGCCACCGCGCCGTCGGGTGTATTCTCGTACTGAAGTAGGTGCTGTGCAGGTGTCCATATATGTAGTGTCTCAATAAAAGGTCTACAATGAACTATGTGCAGTTAAAAAGACATCTGTAGCATAACATTCCTTTCCTTCTCAATACAATAACTTTCACCTGCCATACTGCCTCGCGGAATCGTGGCATCTCGCCACTTCCATTACGTAATCATTAAAAGGATCCGCATATACAACATTTTCCTGCTATACGTTGTACCGCAGGAAAATACGAATCTCCCTGGTATACCTTACAGTCCAAACGATAAATATGTGCCCGAAACGAAGCAGGCGACGATCAGCGTAGTAGACGACACTTGATAGTAATTTTGTATGTGAGATTGCTTTGCTAAATATAAATTACTTTGTTAATAAATATCAACTAAAATTTCTTTTACATATCTTTAAACCATCATTAATATTTAATTATTCATGAGTGAGTAAAATAAACATACCAAACTATATAATGATATGAAATACTTGGTGGCAATGAGGGGAGTTTGACGTGATGCCCGATTGCACCCCTCTGTTAATAACCGAATAGTCCATGGCATAGGCGCCGGAAGTGGGGGGCAGGGGGGGCAGTTGCCCCCCCAGTCAAAAAAGTGGGGGGGCAAAACGCATTTTTGCCCCCCCAAAACGCCCCCCCCCCCTCCAAAAAAAAAAAAAAAACAGTAAAGGAGTAAACATGGTTTGTATTTTTAATCCAAAAGAACGAAACAATAATAAAAACCTGAATTAAATCACATATACAATTCCATTCAAAGAAAAAGGAAAGTTCACAGGAATTAAATTTCATAAACATTGCGCATGCCACCTATACGGTATTTATCAATGGAGGTCTCTATAATAGCGATATGCGCATATCGTGGACATATTGTGCGAGAATGGGAAAGCGTGTCCGCTTTTTTTGTTATAGGGGTGAGAAGACATGAGCCCCTGAACGCTGGCGTACTGATGGGGGGGGGGGTGATGTATTTGTTATTCGAAACAAGTGATTTACAAATGTTGATGTTGTGACATGATTTTCCGGCATTTTTTCTCCATTTTTTTTGTAAGTCATACCTTTTTATGCGTTTGTTGGAAAATAAGAAATTCCCAAATTACAGTCAGGCGAAATACGCTTATTTACAAGCCTTTATGTCATGGTCTGCAAAGTGGCGGGGCTCGAGCACCCCCCCCCCCCCCTCCCCTCCTTTTTGAAAAAGTATGTTAAAGAAAAAAAGAAAGAAAGACGGAGAAAAAAATGAGTGACCTGCCAATGTCACAAATAAGGTATAAAAAATGCTCATCTGACCGTAATTAAATGCTTAAAACCTCAGAGCTTACGGGGATCCGCCCTCGGACCCCACCAAGGGATCTAAGGCGGGCCCTTGGATGCTCATCTGACCGTAAATAAATACCTAAAACCCCTGAGCTTCCGGGAGCTCTGCCCCCTGGACCCCACCAAGGGCCCTAAGGCGGGCCCCTGGATGCTCATCTGACCTTAATTAAATACCTAAAACCCCTGAGCTTCGGGGGCTCTGCCCCCTGGACCCCACCAAGGGCCCTAAGGCGGGCCCTTGGATGCTCATCTGACCGTTATTAAATGCCTAAAGCCCCTGTGCTTCCGGGGGCTCTGCTCCCTGGACCACACAAAGGGCCCTAAGATGGCCCCTGGATGCTCATCTGACCGTAGTTAAATATTGAAACCTCTGAGCTTCTGGGGGCTCTCCCCCCCCCCCTTGGAACACGTCAATTGCCTTACAGAGGGCCCCTGAATGCTCATCTGACCGTAATTAAATACCTAAAACCCCTGAGCTTCCGGGGGCTCAGCCCCTTGACCCCCTGCCGAGGCTCATGCCCTGGACCCCACGCCAATTTACGCTCTACCTGATCGATAATACTCCACTTTGAAAAACGTTCCGCGGGACCTGCATGTAACGTGTAAGACTGGTGGTGATGCAGATTTTTCGTCTGCCCCCCCCCCCTTCCGATTTTTTTTCTCATTACGTCACTGCCCCTGGAATGTGAGCCCCCTGGAATGTTTGCCCCCCCCCCCCCCCAATCCCAAACTGCTTCCGGCGCGCCTGGTCCATGGTGTGTCATGAATATTCATGTTTTTGCTTACCTCGTCAAAATGTTTGCTTTTACTAAATGGAAAAATGACGGTGGGGGGTTGGATGAAATGGACATAATGAACCAAGCAGAAGTGATCTATGATAATTCATGCTTCTTATCCTTCGTGTGCTTGACGTATAATCTTCAAATCGCTTGGCAAACTGAGTCCAAAGTTCGACTTTTTCACATGTGTATTATAGGCAATGACGAGCTTGCAACCTATTTTGATCAAGAGACGGTGGGTGAACTTTCAAAAGTCAATGGGACATGAGGGTTCTAATGAAAGAGCTAGTGATAACGTAAGTCGGGGTGGATGTGCTTTTCGTTTAAACAAAAAATGAATTTTTAACGAATTGTTTGTACAATTCCATAGGCTAACATGTATGGCTGCTGACTCTGACGACAGGGGGCGTTGTGAAATGAGACTAAACCACTGACCTCTACACCTGGACGGATCATCGCCCATTCCCGCCCGTGCTAACGCTTGAAGTAGGCTCGCACGCGCGGCGGCCATTTTACACTTCCAAGAGTGATACGGCTCACTATACGTTACGTACTAAAATGCTGTATTAGTGACCGTTTATACACCATTTTTCTGGCATTATCTGGGATCGCTTCAGTTTTTATTATTATAGGAGGTCTTAGAAGTTAATCAAGCCCCTTGTTTTATTATTCTCTCGAAAGAAAACATACAAATGCATAATTATAAGTACAAGATGCAAGTTGAAGTTTCTCAAACTCCTCGAAGGCTATCCCGTTTCCTCTCCCCCCCCCCCCTCCCATCTCTCTCTCTCTCTCTCTCGATATTAATGTTCATATTACTTTAATATTGTCAGCCAATTATTTTTGAATATCAATATATATGTACCCTCCTCTTCTCTTTGTACGTTTTAGTGCATTGCAATCCTCCTCAT